TACTGTAATAACTAGTCCTAAAAAGGCATATTTGTTCCAGTGTTCTCTTTGAATTATTTGCATGGCTCTTTCTTCAGGTTATTCAGAGAAATTTTTAGAATCAGAAGATAATCTAACATGTCTGTTCCTTATTCTACTGCTTTTTATGACCAGAAATTTTAGTCCCATGACTCTATCTGTAGCTGAAATTGGAAAAGCCATCATTTCAGATGGGGGTCTGTGGACTTCCACTATATTTGTCTCCATGATAGTTAAAACAAGTAGCGATTATTTTTTATAAATAATACCCACTGTATCTGCAAATAAAGTTTTGAAAAAATCACATTTTGAAAACCATGCAGGTTTTTTGTAAAAGTTGAAGTGAGCTCTGCAGGTGTTCTCAAAAGACTGATTACAAGACCCCATTGTTACTGTGTATCCGCCGTTCTTGCAGGCGGAATTATCAGTCTGAACTGAAATCAGTTTTGAAAGAGGAAGGGCAGTCTGTTCAAATACATGTTTCTTGCTCTGTTAAAGCTAAAATAGGTGTGATGAAGTGGTTCATAGAAACAGAGAAATAATTTGATCTGGGCCAGCTGCATGCATTGAAGTTCGTGGATAAAATTGTTTGACCTAGCCCTTGTTCTAACCTGAAAGAATTGTATCTATATGTTCTTGGAATATGGCCCATACCTGTAGTAGCTTGCTCTTCTGTGATTTTCCTGACAAGTTTTTTTCCTTTGTCCTTGCTGAAGATTGCAGCAGTATGGACCAATGCCAGCTCTCCTATCTATTGCTTTTCTTAATGGCTTTTGACCGTGTTACAATAAAGAGTTAACCTTACTTATCTTGGTTTTATTAGGATAGGTAGTATTCTTTGCCCTGCCATAGAGCTATGGGCAAGGAAAAAGCCAGCAGAGCTAGAGGTCACAGTACTTCACAAAGTATTTTCAGTCTCTCAGTGTGTCAAAAAAAGATAAATGTCTGATGCTGTAATTTCAACTTTTTAGAGTGGGACACCCTACAACTTTAGAGTGGTGGGTGTTGGTGGGGATTTGTTGAGTTGCTAGAGACTTAACTTTTCTAGCAAAGCAAGAAACTGTTCTTTCTGTTTATTAAATACACACAGAAAACAGAGAACAAAAGAGGAAACTGGTGAAAAATATCTGAAGAGTATAGAATCTCCACTGTGCATCCTCCTTCACTCTTTCACTTTTTGTATAGCAATTCCTAAAGGAAAAACCCTCCTTAATAGTCCTCCAGAGGGCATATGACTTCTTGCTGAGAAAAATGTGACAATGGGGTTTTAAAAAATTTATTCTTTTAAGAAAAGCAGAGAGGAAAAAAATATAAAAAGTATCAAACATTCTGCTTTTGTCTATATTTTTCTAGTGGATGAATTCCTAAAATATTTTATAAAATATATGCAATCTGCACAGAAGTAGTTAAAGTTTAGTTCTGTAAATGTATCTTAGAAATGTTCTATGCTGGCAGCTTTTAGGCAGTCTGCTGGAAATGTGAATGAGTGATTCATGGTGCCTGTGCAAATATGATGTGTTATTAGTTGAAGAGGCTGCTGCCTAAACTTGACTTTATCAATGAAGAGCTAGATGCATCTAAAGTTACTCAAGTTTTATTCATAAATTTTTATGGCTACATGTGTTATCATTAATTGATAGAAAACTCCTTAATAAGCTGTTGCCATTGCTTAGAAAGTATTTGGCTTTCCTAGGAAGATATTTAGGTCAGTAGTATGTGACTATTAAATCTATGTGGTATATGCCTCCAAAAACATTTTAATATACTAAACACTATAGATACCAAGTTTGGTAGAACAATAATCCTTGAGTAATAACACTTGACTTCCATTTCCTTATTCCATAGTAAGTGTTCCAGCATTCATGTGTATTTTTACATTTCCTTGTGCTATTCTTTCCAAATTTGAATGTACTGTCTTGTGAGGAAGTGAAAGAAGTGACAACTTTCCTGACTTGATTTTTCTCATCTGTAAGTCACTAGATGGTGCCATTTCATTTTTCTAGAATCAAAAACTGTCTTGCATATTATTTTTAGTAGCAGTTGTTAATTGTGTTTTTAAAACAAAACAGAATTGGACTTTTGAGTTCTGTTCTGGAACTACCGCTGCACAACTTTTAGCCTGTTGTCTGGAGAACTTTTGTTTCATAATTTTACATTAAAAAGCTACATGGTAATCTAGTGTATTGTCACAACTCGTGCTCATTAAGAGTTAGGTACAAGTGATGGGTATTATTTCCAAGTTTAACCACTTTTCTGTTTAGTTGTCAGAAACAGGAACGCTTGCAAAATGACTTTGACACTTTTTTGTAATAGCTCAAATTGGGAGAATGGCAAAGTAGAATTTCACATGAATGCTTTTTATTAATAAAATAACTTATTTTGATACTAATACCAGGTGTTGATTTGCTGGCCAGCAGCCTTGATTAAGAATAATATTCTAAAACTGTAGCTGCCATATTGTGGTAGAAAGTCTTTTTATGAGTGGTCAAGGTGCAATGAGTTAGGTTAGTTATAGAACAACTTTATAAGTTTCAGAAAAAAACTAGTGAATATTTAAGTTGTCTAAAGCTATACAGTAAGTGGGTTATGGTTCTAGGTTAAAATGTGGGCAGAGCCTCCAGGACAGTCAAGAAAAGCTTTAAATGTTATAAAATTATCTATAACTGGTACCACTACAGCATTTAACTGGTGATGTGAGCTACTTGGTTCCCGGAGGCTTCCAATCCACCATGCCTTTGTTACGTATTCTTATTTTCTGAAGAGCCAAGCACATGCTAAACATTAGTGTTAAAGAATTGGAGACTTTAGCATATCCTGGTGCTGGATACTTTGTCGTGTCAGCCTGCACTGGTTTTGGCAGTTGGATACATCCACTCCATGTGTTGTACAGCTGTGTAAGGCCATTCAGCAGTCAGTGGTGTTTTTTCATCAATTCTGAAAGATGAACGTGGTGGGAAATTTTGTGTGTGTGTTCCAAAGTCTTCTGTTTGTTTTTGTTGGGCTTAATTAAAATACAGGGAATTTGAAAACTGTCTGTAAACATTTACTTGTTGAATAGGAGGCCAAAACTGAAGCAAGATGTCAGATTTTACTTTTCTGAAATGTTCCTGATTATCTGGCATTTTTGAAATGTAGAACATAAAAATACTGTCGCCTTCTAAAGAGTGACTTCCTTTTTAGCTCACCAGCATCCCAGATAGTGTCTAATATCCTCTATAATCTCTCTACACATTTAGAGCAACCGATGCCTTCTTGAATTTAGGGAGGGGGAAAAAAATCAATATATGTTTACTTGACTTTTGTCAGACAGCTGTTTGAAATGCACAAATCAAACCTGCTCATGGATATGACACACCTGAGATTACACACAATATTCAGTTGTAGCTTTCTTCAACAATAAGACAAATGATTCAGTATTAAATTTAAATATTTAACTATGGGTAATGGATTTAAAGTTGAGGACTAAGTCTTGAACTTAGATGAGAATTAATTCTGTAAAGATTGATCTTGCTACAGAATTAATGGAAGTAACATTTTACTTCAACACAGTAAGCTTTGCAATAGCAAAACAACTCCATTTTCTTCCACCATTTTAGCTGAAGTCAAGAATTATTTTTTTTTTTTTAAGCTTCTATATTTAATATGTTTTTTTCAGAAGTTAAAATTTTCTCTTGTTGGTCATTAACATTTATAGATATAAATTAAGAGTAATCCTTTGGGGTTTGTTTTCATACATTAGATATGATACATGCAGAACTTTTTGTGACTCTGCTTCCTGAGAAAATTTTGAAATACAGTTAGTTGTGCAAGGTGTGTAGTACCCCTATACTGTTCATAGTGGACAAAGTGTAAAAATAAGGTACTTATCATGATCCCACTGTACACACCTTTTAACAGAATAGTCTTATGACTGGTCAACCAGTTTGGACAAAGTTGTACTAAGCTGACTTCAAACTGTATTAATATAGACTATGATAAGATGTCCTGAAGTAAGTTATCTTTTCTGAAGAAGAAAAGAATACCTTGTAGTTATTTTGATAACCTCTTCCTGAGAGGAGAAATTCTTGACTAAGCCAGGATGGCAGTCACTCAAGCACCTCTGTGAGGATATTCATATTTCCTTACAGGAAGTGAATACTCTTGCATTTGGACATGAGATTATATAATCACGCTATAGGTGTATTGTAACACAAAAGAATGGGTTTCCTTTTATCACAAGGAAATGGAAGGAGAGCTCTACACCTCTTGTGGCATCTAACTCTCACTTCTTTTTGGCTTAAGTTATTTAGGCTTCATTTCTGCTATTGGACACTCAAAAATGGGCCATTCCATTTAGAAAGGAGTGAATTGTGATTTAATTTATTATGGTAGTGTGTTAACTACATCTGTCTTTCTGATCATGCTTTATTTTTCTGGACATCTGAAATGTTGTGCTTGTAAGAACAACAAAAGAAATGTTCTGGAAAGTATTTTAAAAATGTGATACTTAATAGATTTATTAAATGATAGTGGCTAAAGAGCCCAGAAAACATATGGGTTTAGGTTCTTTCAGCCCAGGGACCACTGGCAGGGCAAACTGGTAATACAGTATTAAGGAAAAAACAAAAATTTCCTTGTGTTTCCTAGGAAGACTCCATGCAATTAGAGTGTGTTACAAGTGGGAGCAGGAATATGATTTGTGTGAATCCCTCTTCATTTTGTTCTTTTGCTTAAGAACTAGATCTGATGGAGATATTTTTGGCCTAATATGTAGTATGTTTTCTTTGCTGGTAACATGAGACTTTCCCTCACAGTAAGCATATAGTATTTGACTGAAGTTCTTATGCTTCTTTTTGCAGGTGCCAAGAAGTTGCATGCAAAAGGAAGTGATTGATTGATGTTTTTAATCAGCTGAGCTGAAGATTAAAATAATAATTAAAATGTTACTCTTCCAGAAGAAATAAGAAAAACCAAAGAAACATCATAAAAATTTATTATCCGTTCTTGTCTTTAAAGACCTGTATTCAAAGAGCAAGTATTGTTCCCCATAGCACACAAATGCTGCTTTTTCAGTGAGATCAAACATTTCAACGAGATGATCTTTATTTGCTTGTTTATGCAAGATAAAAATGCTGGCAAATGTAGTGTACTTTGTTGTAAGATTATGCTCCTAAATTTCATGTACAATAAGTATTAATAAGTTATTTCTCCCTTCACTCAAAAGCTTTTGACATCAAATGGTTTTCTTGGGGGTGGAAGGGGAAGAATCTAAACCAAGTATGCATCTGCTATCTTTAAAGGAGAAAACACATACAATAACAATTTAGCTATTTAAAATCACAAATGTGGCTACTGAATATAAAATGATTCTAAGTGTAAAGTTAAGATTGGAATTTCCTCAGGAGTGTTTAGCAGCATTCAGACTTGAAGTTATTTTGGGTATATGCATGTGTCAGTCACTTCCTGCCTGTATACTGAAGTACAAGCATTTCAGACCCTCACTGTACATGTCAAATCCAAGAGGAATTCAGCATACATCTGGGGCTAGGCTGGCTAAAACCTATCCTTTCTGAAGTTAATGACATTTCACAGAGTCTTCAGTGGAAACAGTTACGTTTATGCTTCTCACTTTCAAAAATGCATAATGAGACTTCTCCAGAGTAGCTTATGAGTTTTTTTTAAAAAGATAATATTGATTATTTTTAATAATTAAATTACTAAATTCAGGTAACTAAATCAGTGAAACCATCTAGACTATAATTGCAGTTGTAATAAACACTGTAAAATCAATCAAGATTTAATTATTACATGTCAAGTTGCTTAAAAGCAGCAACAACTGCATTATCTCCACATCATTCATATGCACACTATAATTAAGAACAGGATAATAAGTCAAGATGCTTCTTGAATTCCAATGACAGACAGAGTCTGACCTCTGTAACAGATTTGTGAGGTTGTGTAATAAATGGAAAGTGAGCTGTTCCTCTAGCAGTAGTGTTTTTTTTCAGCACTGAGTTTCTGGGTTTGAACCTCATTAACAATCCATGTTGCTTTCATTGTTTTTACACTTGTCTTCTCATATTTGTGTTACAAAGCCGCTGGTGAATGTACCAGCATCATTTGCTGTGAGTTAAAAAGCCATATCCACTGAATAACCTAGTTCAAATTCTGATCTCTAAATCATATTCAGATTCTCATCTACCTAGATTTAGCAGGGAAGAGTGCTTGTAGCTTGATGGGTGTCTTCAGATTTGAATACCGGTGGGAAAATCTGTGCTAAACAAATCATAAAACACGGGAGTTTAGGATCAAATGTAAAATCAGTTAAAAGACCCAGACTCAGTAGGCAGCAAACATGAGAAGAATGTGGTGAGGAATTTAGCTCAGGAGTATTCACTGATCATATCTCCCTGGAAGACAAGAGAATGAGGGCTGCAGAAAACTTCTGGCTAGTACATTTTTCGAACACTGGAGGTTTATCATGAGCCAAGAATGAGATGTGTTCCACCAATGCAAAATAAATCAGTGCTATGAATGAAAAGGGACTTTTTAACAGAGCAGGGCATCAAAGTTTGGAGATGTCATTTTCCTCCTTGCACATGCCTGATTTGTAGATGACTCCTCTGTTGTCTTTGCCTCCCTTTTTGCAGCTAAAATAAAACAAATGAATTAAACAATTGTAATTCCAATGAAGGAAAAGCACCATTGGTTACTTAAAATGGGCCATTATGCAAGCAGGAGATTATTTTTCTCTGTACCACGTCAAATGTCGCAGTGGTTTATTGTTACAGATATTTCAGGTGAACGCATTCTGTGTGGCAGAGTCAATGCTGATGGCAAAGGTTGTAGAAACGTTTGTAACCTTAGTCTTTTTTAAAGAATTTGGCTTTGGTGGCAAACAGTCTGGCTAAATGATCCCTTGTCAATACAGATTTTTTTTCTTCCTAAATAATGTGACCTTTGGGAGGGTTTTTTTCTAAAACTCCATTCCCCTCTTGTTTCACTTACTGTTCTAGGAAAAAATGAAAGGATTTGAAAAGTAATTACGAGCAGCAACGTTAGCAAAAAAACAAGACGGGCAGTTGAGAAAGAGAAAAACTGGGCAGGTCTGTTACTGACCCAGTTTGCTTGTCCCACTTAGTCTGGAAAGGGAGTCTCATTTCCTAACTGCTTGTGGGAGCAGTCAGTACTTAGAGTGGAAGGTGCTTTTGTGTTCTCCCTGGTACTCACATACAATTCCCTGTTTCCTGTCCTTGTATCGTTCAAGGGTTTACATAAGTGCTGTTCCAGTAATAATTATTTTGTGGAAAAACAACCTGATATGGTTGCCTTTCACAAAACCCAATCATTCCTACAATGGCAGAATGGTGGCCACTGTGGCACAAAGGTGCAGCAAGTAGAGACCTTTTAGCCATAGCAACATACTTTGTCAATGAAATAGAATTACTTTGGAGTATATGATACAGGAGAACTGATGTCTACAGTGATAAAAACAAATTAAAGCTTGTAGGAAGAGATGGTATCTTATGAAAGTTTAAACATTACCACTGTAAAAAATGTGCAAGGTTTGGGATGCATAAGCCCTCCTTTGTTTCAGAAGAAAAATTTGCTTTGACTTCTTTTCCTGTGATGTGAGAGCTGGACATCTTACCTTTTCCTCTTCAGTAGCCAGAAGGCTACTGCAAGAATGATGAGAACTCCCAGAACGCAGGCTATCACGACAGAAACAACAAAACCTAGGAAAAGAGGGAGGGCATACAAAATAGTTCATTCCATTTACTTGAGACAAGGTTAGTCTCCAACCTGTCATAGCATTTGCATTCTGCCTCCTCAGCTTTCCAACAGCCTGCTCATACCAATTTGCAATTATGAAATCGATAACTTTGCATAGATGTATGCTGGAAGGTCCTCATCACACAACTGGATTGACAGTTTACAATCCTGTGACTTTAGACATCTGCTTAAGTCACAAAGCCAGCGTGCTGGCACAGATGTAACAGATCAGAAACTCTTTGGATTTCAGTGTATAAGAGAGCCTAAGCAAAACTGAGGAACTAAATACAGGCAACTAGAGATGTTCCATTTCATGCCTTTGCTTTTTCAAGGCAGAAGAACACTGCCAAATGTGGACAGCTGAAGAGGGATATGCTTTGCTGTTGAGAAAATTGCTTAAAAGGCATCTAAGAAGGTAAGAATGAAATCAGGATATGAAGAACTGAGTGATCATGTTTGCATTGACATGTTAAGCATTATTATTACAATGCCATCTTTGATAATGAACTTTACTATATATTTTTGGCAATTAAAGTATATTTATTTTTGCCTTCCCAAAGATTCTGAAGGTGAGCGCTCTTTTCTTAACTGCATTTTCCCAATTCATTTACACATTTTTTTTATATTTTATCAAATGACTGTTTCTCTCCAAGCAACATCAGAACCCTTTCAGAGTGAAGCTGACAGGTTTCATGTATTCCATCCAAATATTTTCTCTAATTAGCTGATCAGCTGTTGAGAAAACAGAAATGTAAAACTTGGAGTTTAATCTTATCCCATTTAACCCATTAGATGCTTTATTAATTTTAAGTCCATGGCGTTGAAGAAAACCTGTATTGTAAAACAGGGGAGTTTTGTTATAGTAAAGATGCATCAAATAAACAACAAAATATAACACCAAATAGATAATTGCAGAAAAAGAACTTGTAGTTTGAAGAGGAAGAGTAGGGGGCATTTCTGTTTGATATGACCTTCCAAAATTTAGTTAGATAGTATTTCAGCATGGTGCTATAATCAAAGCTAGACACCAGTTCCCATTTAACTTGTGAGCAGTGGAAAGTTTGAACATCATCATCAATTTCAGTTACATGTATGTGAAACAGATTTTATAGGAATAGATTACTGACAGGCAAAACACATACTGTATATTATATTATTGCTGAATAATACTTTAATATTATAGACATTTTGAAATGGAGTACTTGTTAATAGTGACTATGAATTTAGATTTTAATTATTAGCATCAAAATGTGGATGACGGAACACTTCAGTCATCCGTATTTTTGATGCCAACCACAGCTCAGTAGCCCCATCTTGTGGTGTCTGTGCTCAGGTGAAGATGGAAGCCCTCAGTCTTGACACTGAAAAGGTAGAAAAGTTGCTTTGAAAACCTGCATTAGTGGGGGCCTAGAGAGTGCACAACAGGCTTGTTTACACAGATTTTTGCGGTTGCCTGGCCCAAGCCATGATTCTGTGTATGGCCTCTCCTTCCCTTCTTAATAAGTGTGATCTGTTCTACCTGTGGTACAGCTGCCTGCATCAGGCTGGGTGCTTGCAGCCAGCAACCAGGTGCACTTTAATTGACAGCAACTTTTTTTTTTTTTTTTTTTTTCTTTTTTCTCTTGAGGTTAGGGGCTGCACCTGTGATGGAGCCTTTGTGACCGTAGTAGGTGGAATGTGAGATTACAGGGGTGATAAATATCTTTTTTGAAATGGGTAGAACATTTTTGTATGGTTCACTGATAGAGTCAATGAGCTTTTGTAATTAAATGTACTTAGACTGAATGGGGTTTCTATTAAAGTAGCACAGAGCAATGCCTTTCATAGCCATAGAGACCAGTTCCTGGGTGAGAACAGCAGGATGGGCAGTAACCCATACAATTCAACTCTAGTAAGTCATGCCAACTTTAAAGATACATTGAAAATGCTTTTATAGCCGTTGTCACCTCTGCATGGGAGCCAAATAATGTGGCTTAGCAAAGGGAGAGCCAAATGTTATTCTTGGGTTTGGCACTGGTTCACAGCAACAATTTTGAGAAAGTCACATCTGGGTCAAATGTTCCCCCATAGATGGAAATAATAATGCTTACACTATTTCTGTGAAGTGTTTAGAGATTTCTGGATGAAAAGCAGAGTATCTGATTTACAGATACTGGGATCATGGATTGTAACTCTCTACCTTTTACTTTCAAGTGTGATTTACAGAGAATGTAGTGAGGTGCTGAAAGGTCAGCTTAAGAAACAGATGGAAAACTGCATTTCTCTCTTCTGACTGACCAGTCTAACTCAGAAAATTGCTGGTTCATAGATGCAGTTAGCAATCAGCCAAGTCCACGAGGTATTGACTCTTGATGAATTGAGAGGGTAGAAAAAGCAAAATTGAATCTCTAGGATTCCACGGTGAACCAGTCTTAAACATAAGGTAGCTGCTAACTCTAGAACTTCTATTATTTCAGTAAGTGTTTCTGCAGTGGCATTGCTATAGCAGGTTGTTTGTGCACGGATTTAAGAACGACCCTGCAGAGGAAGCCTTACTGTCTCAGAAACTTGGCAGCTGTATTGCAAATCCTGATTCTGCCATTTAAAATCATTTTATATAATCCAATTTGAGCAGAAATTTGAAGGGGATTACTAAAATAGCCATTCTGGACCCAGCTTATTCTCTAGTTAGCAGCTAGTGTTTGAGATTGGAGGTTTGGGAAGAGAGTTTTAATCTTCTTTCTGGTCATGTAGGAATGTCATGGGGTGAGGGTTATTTCTAGTTGGCCAGTCCAGAAAAGCAGAAAAAGGACTGATGTAGTCTAGTTCTTTCTTTTTCACTATTTTACCCATCTTTTAGTTTACTCAGAATATTGTTTGTACAACTAATACCAGTTTGTATATTAATCATGGGGCTATTAAGGATTGTTGATTATTTGGTAAACTTGTAATTTTCTTAAATATTTTGGTTAGAATCTAGCAACAAGAGAACTACCAGTGTAATTCTGATTTTAAAATGAGATCAAATTGAGGCATTGTTCTATAACCATTATTCTCTGTAAGTGGTGTCATATGGACCTGGTAAGAGGCATGAAGACAGAATAGAATGTTATGACTTGGCTTTATAATATAGTATACAACAAGAAATCAAGGAACAGAACCAGCAAAATCCCAAGTGTGACTTGTGTATGCCATGCATATGAGTTGTATATAGTCATAGAAACAACTTATGTCTAAGGCAGAGTCATATTACATTCAAGAAACAAGGTTTCCGCTTGTTAGCAACATAATACAAACAAATCCGTTCACTGATAAACTGATAGGGTGGTTGTTCTCTTGCTTATTCTCAACTCTGAAGCTGTAAGATTAAGGTTATTGCAGAGTATTACAGAGAACTACATGTGAGCAGAGATTGGAGAGACTCTTCATCATGCATAGCAGAAAGGTAATAATGATCTTACAGGAAGGGAAAAAATCTTATTTTTTGTTAACACGTGAGTTGATGCAGACTGATGCAGAATTTTGTTAGCCAAGGGTATTCAGTATTTTGATTTAGTCAGACCTTGAAGCTGGGCCCCAAACTGTAAATGAATTAAAATACAAAAAGAAACAATTGATCAGAGCAACTTCTCTCAGCAGTAATTCAGGAGCAGAAACAGTAGCTTTAAGTAGAAGAAAGATATAACTAAACTATCTGCTGCTAGTAATGCGAAAGATGATAAGATACCTTTGTCGGCAAATAAGCAAGGGGCAAATCGAAAAAAAGACAATGAATGCAGAAAAATGCTGTAGCTGCTTGAATGAAAAGAATGGAAAGAACTACTGTGGATGCTTCCAGTGCTTTGCACTGTAGTCTCAACAGTACTGGGGACCTTTTTTTGAGGTATGTGGAATGGATGCATTCCTAGCTTCCAGAATGAAGATGGGAGATGAAAACTACTTAGCTCTTTTTGCGGAAAGTCACTTTCCTAGGCCTTTACAAACTGGAAGCTGTGTACAGACAGGAAGGTAGTTGAAAACCTGAGCACCTTTCAAGATACTCAGAAGTACAAAGTCATATAGTGATGGCTTTACTCACTGGGTGTAACACCTTCAGCTCCTTATATGTTAAACAAAAGGATATGTTGTGCAGATTCTCTGCACCTCAAAACTGGGAAGCATCCCATCTTTGAAATCACTGCCCCTGCTTCTGTGCTGCAAGTTAAAATAATTGTTTTTTCTAGTCAGTATCTTTCTGCTGAGTGTACAGAAATGAGAACCTGTGATGGTTTGGATGCCTGAACTGCACTGAAAACTCTGTATTGCCTTTAGCATTGTAGCCTGCCCTTCTTTATACACCTGCTCCCTAAGGCTTCTCCTGAGGATCCACTATGCTAACTGCAGATAGAATGGTTAATAAAATAAGTTAGGGGATGCGGCAGTTAGGGAGATGTAGCCTTTGTCATTGGAGCTCTGGAGATTATGAAATGTAGAGGTTTAATGCAGAGCTGGAGAGTAGGAAGTCATGAATTGTGGTTCAAACCATATGGTGAGTCAGCTTGGAACTGTTAAATATTTTTTACTCCAGGTAAAATAGAGAAATGAAGGCCTAAATCATTATAACTCAATGAGAGAAATGTGCTTAATTAATGAGGAGAGTAATATCAATGTACTTATTTAAATAATTACTAAGTTATGTGCAGTAATTCCAGAGAAGGCGCTCAAAAGAAACTTCAGGGTAGAATTACGTTGCTCTTATGGGAGGCTTTAGAAAGATTTTTAAATGTTTCCGTGAGAACTGAAATGGTCCCCAGCCACAGAATGACTTCTGAAATTGTCTGCGGGTTTTATCTCAAAGATGGAGTTTTGCTTCAAAAAGGGGCTGAATGAGGCTGATGCTTTGCACTGCTCTGGTTGGGAATTTTGGTGCAGCTAATCTCACAAAGAGACCAGACAGCTTTTGGTAACAAATCTAAATAATCTCTAATTTCAGAGAAGTGTTTCGTCTAGGATGTGTTTTGGCTGATCTCGATTTTCACTTTTCTCCTTTATAGCTTTATTTTAGAAAAGATACATTATGAAAGGGACTGTCTGCAGAGGGTAATGGCAAGAACAGCTACTGCAGTATTCCTGCAGGGAGAACTGTTCCCTGCAGTGGCTATTGTGTGAAATTTCCCAATATAGACAACTCCTGTGTTTTCCATTCTTTCATCTGAACACAGTGAAGAAACTAGCAGGCAAAGCTGAAATGATGTGCTAACATGTTTTATTAATTTGAAAGTTACTGCTTAGCCAGTCTTTTTTATGAAGTCTGTTTTTTCTTTTAAAAATCTTTTCCTCTCAATTTCAAATAGGATAGTGGCTTGCCTAGATTCATCTGCCTTCAGTGTATGTGCCAGTTTCACAACTGCTTAAGAGTATTTGTTTGCAAGACAACGCAGAAATTGGAACAATACGTTTTGCGCAAACAGCATACTCAAATGTCTTACTGAGGGGCACAACTAAGCTTCGCACAAGTACAGGTTTTTGTACATCTCCCACCCCTCAAAACCTATGCATTGTCATTGTGTAACATGGCATAATTAAGCTTTTAAAACAGTTCCTCCTTATGAGGTGGCAATTTTTGTTTCTCATTTGTAACACTGGATCATACAATCCAGTGTTATGAATCATTTTTATTTGTCAAGTTTGAATTTCTCAAGGACCTCTTCTGTTTCTGTGTAATTTCCCCAAACCAGGTCTCCCTGAAACACAAAGTTGGGATTCCCTTTAAGTGTGTGGTCTGCATAAAAACAATCCTGATACTGCTGAGAACCAGCAAATGTCACTGTTGAGACAAGGCCAACTCAAGTATTTGTGCTGACTGAAACAGCTCAGCACAGCGGAGAACTGTTTAGTGTTTGGAGTGACAACAAATATTTCTGCTAAGCATGACAAGGCCAAACATATCTTCCTTCATCTCCTTGCCTTTGATCAGAAGGTTTGCAGGGCTTGCCTGATACACATTCTGAATAAAAGACTTCTTATATACTCTTTGAATACCTTATTCTCGTACAGTTGCCCATGCAACAGTGAAGTAAGAGAAGAAAAGGGAACAAAGTGAACTGTGAGAAAATGAGATTGCTGTATTTATGTAGTGGTACAGTGCAACAGGGCTGCCACTTCGCTGTTTCCAGTTTACACAAATCACTGTGCCCCGTTTCTTTGCGTAGAAGCATTCATACAACTCACCTTCACGGAAGGAGATAAAAACCAGTCTTTCATGAAATTCCTGAACATTTCGGAAGTTATCGACCATTTCCAAGGGTTCTGGGTCATCACTCTCTGTGCAGTACATGGCCGTTTCCAGTGCCAGTAACTACAAAGGGAAGCACTCTGTTCAGCTCCCAGAATACAGGCAAAGCAGTGACAGTGTATGATCACTGAGACCACATTTGAAATCAAAGGGGAGTCAAAGGGAAGAGGATACATTAAGTAATAAATTCTTGCATGGCCTGTGAGCCCAAATACTGAATAATGTGTAAACAGTGAAACAGTGTGACATCTCCAAACCCATACCTCTATTTTGTTTACATCCTGATAAAATTAATCCTGTTTAGTAATTATCTGCCAGGATGACTGGGTGGAAGGAAGCATGGTGGCCCTCTGCAGCATGTTCTCCCTAGCACAGTCTAACTCCTAAGCAGTACTAAAAGCTACTTTATGGAATAACTCTCTACTTTGGTAAAAAACATAATCTGGCAAAGCGGACAAAGTTAAGAATTTACTTTCATAACAAGAAACATACAATAATTTGGTCAGAGATTTTGATAATAACATTTTCCCCTGTGTTTAGAATTAGGTGAATCAGAAAATAGTGATTGGGAGTTTATAGTCTATGTAACCGGCCACCTAAGAACAAAAAAAGTTAATTAGGTGAGCACAAAAACCAGAAGTTAGCAAAGAGCCAGGGGATTCAAGAGTGACAAATAACACATCACATGCTTTTTAGAAACTTCATGTCTACCCAACCTGTCATACTTAATTCAGTCAGGATCAAAATACCACTAAAATACTTAGTAAATAGGGTTCAGACATGAAGCCTGAACAAAAATGATCTGGAATGGGCTCATGGAAAGACTCAAAGCAAGGAGTAAGTACATAGTGAAACCAGAAATTAATCTCACTTGACTGTGACTTCTCAAGCTGATAGTATACCAATTGCTGTGCCTGTGTCTGACCTTTATTTATTCTGGTCAACAGAAAATGTGCTAACTAAAACCAGAATAGGATACTGATTTATGTCAGTTTTGTGCTGTTGTTCACACTTAAAGGATTTTAGCAATGCTCATCTTTCAGTTTTATGGGAATGTAAGAGAAACCCAGGAAGTGAGAATATGCGTTTACTGTTCTTTAGCAGACACCAATCAGGAAAACACGTGCTGCATTTTAACTTGCCTGCTCTTGTGAAATTTTAACGGGGTGTCGGAAAACTGTCCAGAGAACACTAGGGTAGCAAGGAGGAGTTGTCAGGGATCCTTCATAGCGATAATACTCATCCAGTCTGTCAGGAAGCAGTTCTCGAATATTGAAACCAGGAACCTGGACCATCTGATCTAAAATAGGGGATTCGTGTTAAATTCTGCATCATTACTAAACAGGTAGTGTACTAGTGAAGTGAATTTGCTTTTCTATAAGTAAGATGCTTTCAGTTATATCACTAGGAAAAGAAAAATACATTTTAACAGAGATGATCCCAGTTTAATAAGTAATACAGCTTTTTAGGTTTCCTGTGTAAAAATCTTGTCTTAGATACCAAATTTAGAATTCTGTAAGACAAACCGTGGCCATATTAACCAAAAACCCACCATGTGCAGTAAATAAGGCCCAGTCAGAAACACGTGGTGCATGCTAGCCATCAACTCTTCACAGAAATGCACTGCCATTTATAAGTCTTTGTGAGAGGTTTGCCTGGGATTTCTGGACTCTCTTCAGCCAGTTCAATCCCTCTCAGGGAGACACCTGACACTCCTAGCCATTACCAATCCAGTGCGGCTTATAGCCACTCACCCTTGTATTTCACATTCCGGAAGTGCCTGAAGATCTTTTCATAGGATGGGTTGAATGGTCCAATCTGTAATGAACGGACTATTAACAGCTGAACAAATCACCACAGTCTGAATATAAGTCTTTGCTTCTGCACACAGCAGACAGCACTGTTTGATGGTCTCTGTCATAAGGCAAGTGTCTCTACTGTCCAGATATTCATATACTAGAACAGCATAAATACTCTTTTTACTCAGAACATTAACCCTATCCTCAGAAACCCAATAATGCTTACTCACTCCAGAGCTATTAGGGCTGCTTTGTCATAATGCTGTCCTAATAACTGCAGTGTAGACCTCTTGTGTGCACTTTAAAGACCCTATTGCCCTTGCCTGTTCAGCATGCTGTGCGAATTAAGAGAAGCCATTTCCTCTGAGAACATTGCAGGCGTAAGTTCTCAACAAGCAGCCTTCTCAGACCATCTGCTGGTTTCTAGTCAAAATTTTCCACCCACAAACATTTTTTTGGTCTGCTGCTCCTCACAGTCCAGGAAGATAAAGAATGACACTACTGGGTACTGCAGGGCCACTGGCAGGGGCTATAACACACCGATCTGCCAAGGGCTATAGCTCAGCTATCAAACAAGACTCTCTTTTTCAACTGCTACCAGCAGCTTTTCACTCTAATAATCAATGTCTTTTTTTTTATGAATTCTTTAGAGTTGGTGCTTAGCAACTCCTCTGACAAGCAGACATAGTCAACTGGTGTACTTAGGTCAACTGTAATAGCCACCAGCTGTCTGAAAGTTTTTCAAAGATCTAATCTCCATTGTTCCCATATTTGATTTTTAAACACCATTGCTTAGAAATAACCAGAACCCCAGGATTATTCCCTATCATAATATACCATATTTTGGCACTTCTCATGGCTGCAACTTCCAAATGAACTGAAATCTAACACAAAATTATTGTCAAAGTCTTCAGAGCTGCTAGGAAGTGAGTTTGGATATTAGGGAGAATTAGAGCTTTGTCTGCTAACTAGAACATTTTCACTTTTATGATGAAAATGTGAAAAACTGGGTGTTTTTAGGACTTTTTGTGCTGCAGAAAATCCTCACGTTTAAATAATTGTCTTTATAGTTAACTTATTAAGGAGTTTTAATCCTAATTACATCCAGTGGCCAAAGACAGGGTTGGGTCTGCCTGTGCCTCTCTGCTGTGTCAAAACTCCTTCATGCTACGTAGGCAGTTCTGAGCAAGTGAGCTTGAAATTCACTGTTTGTTGTTTGATAAACTCTACCAATCATTAGTTTGTAAACGAATGCAAAAATGGATTTAACACAGCTGAAGTTAATTTACTGAAAAACATGAGGAAATATTCAGAATTCCTCTTTTCTTAAAATTTGTTCCTGCTTATGTATGTGTTGCTGGAATCTGGCCCTTTTTTTGCAAAAGATAAAAGGAAGAACTTTTATTCAGCCACAGCAACATTAAATAATCTAGGTAACTTTGTATGTTAAAGGTCTCTGACTTAATGATTGAAACCATATTCTAACCCAGAAAACCCCATTCTGCATCCTACCTCAAGAAGAATAGCCAAAACCGCCAGTCCATCCGCTTTGTCCATTGCTGCTGTTACGTCTGGATATTTCTCAGAATTATAATGTACAATATGCAGCTGTAAAGAAGGAGATACTGTGTTATGGTAATGTCTGGGGCATGCTCACCTTTCTGTTTTGCAGCTAAAAAGAACCAGTGCAGCCATCTCAGGCTAAGACAATACAATGGGATCCTTCAGTGATTTCTGGGTGTAGTGGAAGATCTTTTTAGAGAAAAGCAAAAGGTCCTGGAATTCCTACTCCCAGCCCCACTGTAGCTGAGTTACACCCTCCCTCTATTGCAGGGGGAAAGAGGCTTGATCACTCCAGCTTCAGGGCATCTTGACAGTAATACTAGTAACTTTTTTCTGAAAAAGTAACACTTTAGCCCTCTTGGGGCTCTCTGATGTTTAGAATGCAAAACTTGGTGTTAAATATAACTGGAGAAGAAAGTGCTGTTATGCAAGCAAATTATTCTAATTTCTTTTTTAGTAATTTTGGAGTAAATATCCAGTTGGTACTGCTTTTCAAAATCTATTCCTGAACCTATAATTTAGGATTAGAAAAGATAACAGTTCTTCACTGGATAGAAGGCAGCAAGTAAAGGTAAACAGAAGAGCTAAGTCATGCAGCTAAAAGATATAACTGGTTTACAGAGAAGAACCAAGGTGTCAGATGTCTAGCAATTTGCTTGAAATTACTCAGGTGACTCAGCGTCAGCACTGAGTTTAGAACCTAAATTCTAATTCCCTGACTTGTGACACATTCATGAATGTGCATGGGAGTCCATCCTTTTTGTGGTGCACAATGCATTTTTTTATTACATACCCACATCATAAATACTTGGATTAGAACCTTGCAGTCTTTTACAGTCAGTCATGTACCCAAGATAAAGATTCCAAGAATGGGACCTGCCCGGCCTTCTTGATTTCATTTCCTTATCTGAGCTTGTCTTACCTCTGCTGCAAAATGCTTCCCACTGACTGTGTGCTCTGAGCCTTCTGACTTGTTTCTGTTTCCCCAGTGTAGGTGAAGCTGAGATGCAGTGTATTCAAACGGGAGGTTTCTGATGTACATAGTAGGTGACAGATACATTTTCACTGTAAGTAGATGAAGACCAGTTGGGAGCAAGTGTTACCACAGTTTTCCAGCACAGGGCAAATAAAAATACTAAGTATATTATGTATGGAGCATGAGCAAAGCAGATTCTTAACTTAAATCCATCTCAGTCTGTGGTAGGAGATAAACGCTTCAGTTGTCTTTAACCCTTTACAGGCAATTGAAGATAATTTAGAATATAACCTTTCTCTGCTTTCTTAAACTAAAGGAATTGAATGTGGGAATTGTTGCTGATGGAAATCTTTCTTCTCCCTGAAGAATGCAAAATTATTTCAGCCCTGGAAGAAAAACTTAGGCTCATGTGCCTTCTTTCAATCCCCTTATAATGGTTGCAAATACCTTAATAAATTAATATTCTTCATAGTATTTTTAAACTCTTGTTATATCGAGCTCATCTGCTTCTTAATCTTTTGGCATCATACAGCAAAACCAAATAAACTTCCCTCTCTCCCTGCCCCCTCCCTCCCCAAACCCAGAGCATTGATGTGGAGCAGCAAGATAATCACAGACCTTAAGAACTAGCATTTCTTCTCTCGACATGCTGCAGGGAGACCTTTGTATGCATTACCCTCCCTTCTGCTCACTAATGCTCTCCAAAATGGAAGACAGGCTGGGTTATTTTTTTTGTATGGAAATTACAGTAGTAATTCTCAACTCAGCAGGAATGGAGTTGTTCACTTGAGAAGTTTGATACTTCATAATGCAATGGTTTATGTAAAGACCAGAATGATTTGTTTGCAATTTATCTTTATTATTTTCTAGGGTGAATACAATTTGTATTCATACAATTTTCTGGAGTGTCCCAGATGTGTTTTGCAGGAAAAATAAGACTCAAAACCTTAATGAAGGAACAGCTGCAAGCCTATGTGTTTTTATGCTAGTGCTAAAAAGCTTTTTTCTGAGCTCTACTATTTTCAGTCCAGCTGAAGTAGGTAATTTATCTAGATTAGCTGGCCAGTGAAGCACATCAATTGTATGTAGAAATAACTGATGCCACAATGGTAAACATCCTACTGATTTCCTCTCTAGCTATAAGAGAAGATAGCAGATGGCATAATGATTCCTCTAACAAAGGCTAATTTTTCAGTACTCAGAGCAATTAAGGCTCATATCTGAATGAAGTTTCGAGTGGGTTCCATGTCCCCTGCTTTCTAGGAGGGCGTTGACCTTAGAAGTGAATTCCTGTTTTTATTGAGGGTGGGATATATTTTCGTCTTGGCTTTCATTAGGAAGCAGTTGAACTTCTTGTTTTTGGGGCAAGATCTGACAATGTTAGTGACATAGATTCTATGAGGAATTTGATTTTACTTGTGTATTATGTGAGGGACAGTCTCTCAGCGTTGTTCTTCTGTCCCCACCTGCTCTCTGGCATCATTAAAGTCCACAGTGACATTTCCTTCTCTGTCTATTGCCTGTCACATCAGCCTGATACGTTCATCTGTGACAGTACAATCTTTCACTCAGAACCAAGAAAGGCCCTTAGGAGAAGAAGGTTCACAAGGAGAGAGTGTTCCAGCCATTCCTAGTCTAAAGCAATCTGCGTTTGATGGAGAAATTGATGAAGAGGAAAACCAGGAACAATGCCCTAAGAGGTTGGTCCTTACTGAAGAATGGGCTTATGATGTTCTACAGAGCAGGTTTACCCCACTAAAGTGAGGAAAAAAGAGATGTTTGCATGTTGGGCATCTTTTAACTGAGCATGCCAGAGAAGAGCAGAGGCATAGGCCATTTTAAAACACAGGTGCTTTTGATGCTTATGCAATAGAGGAGGCTACAAAGAAGGAGGGCCTTATAACTGTTCTTATTTCTGTGTCTTCAAATGTTTCAGGAAGGAACAAAAAATGGTGGGACTAGTTTACTAGTATTGTATAATGTGTCCATTATGTCCATTATTAGTATTGTATAATGTGTCCATTTATGAGACTGCATCTTCTCTGCTTTTACCTTCTGTAAATTTAGTGATTTAGTACTACAATGGGGGCCATGTTTGTATGCTATTTCTAACCATTTTCTGTCTTTTTATCTATCTATCCTATTTTACACTAAAGAGGTTTCAACCTCAAGTCAAAGGAACAGAATGGTACTCCCAGCTTTTTTTTTTTTTTTTTTCCTTCCTCCTCTCCCTCATGTAATTCAGCTGAGCTGCTTTGATTAGGCAGGAATGTTGGAGTCTCATTGCACCCATTTTTTTCCAGTTTATTCTTAAGAGAATCACAAAGTCTGCTTCTGTTTCGAAACACTCCAACCAAAGTAATACAAAAAGCTCAGGAATTAATTCTGACATGCCTTGAGTTTATTTAAAAAACACAGTCTGTTCAGCTCACTGCAAATCCATTTGTACTTAGTATATTCCCAAGTTTCCCTAGCCTGTTCTCTAGATGTAAGTATGCTGATGTGAAGGCTTCAGCATCACAGCTTAATTTCATCTGATAATCAAGGTAGTTCACCCATGAAATAAAAAAATCACAAACTTCAGCAACTCTTTCCTTCACAATCCCTTGCTGTCATTGAGCTCCCTTACCTGAATGACCATTATTGGTCAAAGTAAACTGATCAGTGGAGGGCACATTATAGCCTATGAATTCTAAAGGCAAGAGATTAGAATCATACTGGAGAATATCTTTGTGGAAATCTATTGGCGATTGGAATACTCCTCCACAAAATGGGTATTTCTTTGGCCAAGCCTTCTCTCCGTCAGGACCTGCATAAATTAACAAAGAGACACATTCGTCAAGCCTTAGCTGTGTAATTAATATAAAAACTCCCGTTTCAGCCTTTGCCCCAAATTTGGAAAAGGATCCTTTTCTGAATTTTGAAGACTTTATTTTTTTAAACTTAATTTCATGTTTCCAGTGTGTATTAGATAGAAAAGGGCCAAATGCCAACAAAAATCTCACATAGAGACACTTTAACGCCCCTTGATTTTTTGACAGTCTCAACTGCTGTTGATGTTACACTCTGGGGAGCTGCAGGCGTGGTAGCTCACCAGGTTGGGCCTGCAGGCAGCAGCACCACAGCCAGCCACAGTGCCTGTGACCTTCCAGTGATGGGTCCTCTCCTCAGAGCCCCCAGGCATGACAAGTAGAGTTTGGATCTGTGACAGTATTTGGATTTTTTTACTGAGATGAATTCCTTTTTTCTATGGAAGTGACAAGCATATGTGCAGTAATGCAACTCTTCAAGCCTTCTGAAGTGCTGAAATAAGTTACTTCATGTTGGCAGAGGAAAGTTTCCGTACTTTTCAGTATACAGAAAGCCAGACCATTATAAACTTCTCCTTATCACAAAAATTGCCTAGCTCTATCTAGAAATATTGCATTACCCACAGTGAAAAGCTAAATTGCAAAAAAGGGAAGGTGTTATGATAATTTGACCTGCAATAACTTGCCTAACCTGTGGTGAAACTGTTCTTCATCACAGTCTTTTGCCCTAGGTAGGATCTACAAAGAGTAGATAATATCAAAAGGTTTTTTATTGTGCCTTTGATTTAATTACATATTAATAGCTAGCAGCTGTTTGCAAGTTGGATTTAGATACCAGAAGAGGTACTTGTAACTTGTGTTTCTCCTTGACTCTGAAGATTCATGGTGATTCTTTCTAAGGCAGGAAAGTCTTTTGGGATCACCCAGCCTGATCTGTGGAACACAAACCATTGGACCTCCCTGGATTAATTTTTACTTCAATGAGGCCATATCTTTCAGAAGGGAGAAAACATCTACTCTTCCTTTAAGCACTGCAGGTAAAAGATACTTCATTAGTGCCCAACGGATATTTACTCTCTGTGACAGCTTGCTTTGCTGTGAGTTTGTCTAGCTTGACATTGTTTAGATAGTGATTGCTTTTAATCCTTTGATTAGAAAGTAAAGAGCCTCCTGTTAGCAAGCTTTTGTTCCTCACTGAAGTACTTATAGAGGATATAGTTTCTCACTGCTCTTAAACTACATAGATTGAGTTCCTTGAGTCTTTGGTTAGAAGGCTGCTTTGAAGTCTCTCCAGTATGTTAACATCTTCCATGAATTGTGAATGCCAGAGTCTAATGTTAGATTGGGTTGTTAGTGGCAAAGCAAGTTCAGATCTTTTCTGAAGGAAAATTAACAGTTGGGAGAATATTAGATTCCAAGACAGTTTCCAAGGATATGGATAGTGGAGGTGAATCTGAAGAACATAGTGCATGTGACAGAATGGGCAAGTTCATTTCTGGTGTCAAAGGCAGAGTTATTTCCTTGTTACAGCTCTTTAAGATTATTCAAGACATAGGTTAGCCCTGGACATTGTTTACAGTGTGGATACTCAGACTCAATCAGTGCTTTTCAGTATAAATAGGCCTTGATGTTGCTGTAACTTTCGTCTTTGACTCCAGTTCACTGCCAATCACATTAATTTTCTTCCACTTAAATCTTCATGGTACCACCTTAAAGTTCTTTAAATTCTTCTTAAAAGCTAATAAATGTTATTCTGACATTACAGAAGACTGTATACTATCCTCTACATCTTTTTTGGCAAATAACAGATCTGTCCAGAAGAGCATAAATTCCATACTATGGGATACACAGGCTCAGAATATTTCCCAGGAAAATATATATCAGGAAGTTGTAGTTTCTTGAGGCTGAAACTTGATGTGCAAGACAATGACGCTAAAATTTAATGCTTTTCAGGGAGGTAAGACTAAGGCAGTGGCAGAAAAAATTGGTGAGAAGCCTTTATTGTAAAAAGACTTCAGTAGTTTTAAAAGGTTTGGGGCTTCTGTGCACTGATAAGATAGCGAGTTTGCAAGAAGACTCTAATATATTACATATCATAGGCATGACTTGATCATTAAATAGGTAATTTTAAATTGATGCATAAAATAGAAGTCTAGTCACAGCCAATGGTAACCATGTCATGAAGTACCACTCACTTGTTCAGTACTATGTTTGGGTGAATTGAATGCCCTTAAGAGCTGGCAACAGTGTGTGGGAATTTCCACACCAACATCAGCAGTTCAGAAGGGAAACTTTTGTCTTTTGAATAAAATGCTGTAGTTACTGCAGTCTTTATGTACCTTGATCTTTACTAGCAGTTATCCTTTCCTTGACGTAAATCTGCAACTCCACTCACAGGCCTCTAAGCTAGAGCAGGTTTTGCTTGTTTTCTCACTCCTGCTCAATTAAGAAAAACAACCAGACAAAAAATCTTTTCTGGTACAAAACTATTTTTTTGACAAATTCTGCCACATTCCTAATTTCAGTGCCTCAAAACTCCTGTCTGAAAGAGCTGAGTTCATTGCTGCTTGTGTTTGCATATGTGAAATTTGGATTACCATGGTAGATAAACCACACAGCTGGAAGGCATTTCTCAGCTAGCTCTGTTGAAAATGAATGATTGATTGTGAACCAGATTTTCCTTTTTCTGTGCCAGCATATTCAGATAAATTCAGTGGAAATCACATTGTGTTTATAAAGGTTCTGTCTGATCACTACTGAGTAAATAGTATGTGGATGTGTTAAGATTGGCCTGTACTAGTCCCAAAAGGTGTTAACATAAGTATTGCAAAAATATCTTAATAGTTAATTTCCTTCTTTTTTTGACAGCATTTGTGGCAAAGGGAAAGACCCAGGCATCTTGGATGATGTTGACTGCTATGAGGATCCTGTCAGGACTCTGTCAGCAGAGCAGCAGTTGTCCCATGGCCTGTCCTACCCACCCAACACTACCTGTTCAGCTGTTGGGAGCAAGCAAATCAAGGTAGGAGCTGCTGGTATGGGTGGAAGTAGGACCCCTCGTGCTGCCACCGCTCCCAGTGCCGCTACCAACACTCCCAGCTGTAGAGGGTGCAGATTCAGGCTGCTCACATGCAGGTTGTGGGCTGCCTTCTTTTACATGAGTTTCCAGGACCACATTCCCCTACAATGCTGTAAATAACCCTGAGCCTGGCTGTGCCCTCATGGCTATTTTATAAAAGATGCCTGTAAATAAAATAGTAGTTCTTTGGATAGTCTTGCTGCCCAGCTGCACAGTGAGCTGAGCAAAATACTCTCAGCATCATGGCTGCATGTGTCCATCGCATCATCTACTTCAGCAGCTTTGAGCTTTCAGCCAGCCTTCAGCCAGCCCCACAGCCCTAGCACTGCTGGCTGATGCAGGGCAGGTGTTCCTTTAGGAACAACAGTGATGTCTGCTCCCAGGATGAGTACATTGGCTGGCTTAAAAAAAGAAGAAAACAGGCCTATGAGACACCAGTGTTACCAATAGACTTTTGCTCTGTTGACCAATTAATATTCATGTTGCTTGAACTTCTCACAGGGTACCCAAGTTCTCTTGATCTGAAGTAAACTAATGTAGGAAAATGCATTGGGTCAGTAATGCAGGGAATGTCTGTGGTATTTCTGCAGCCCTGTTTTCCGCTGGCTGGAAGCTGTATAGCTGCCATTAGCCCAGGGCTGAGTTTGTAGTGAAGGCTGGGACTCCAGGCTCCCTGCCACACTGACGTGCCCACATGGTTTCCATTTTGCTGAGACCACAGGCAGAGCTCAGCCATACCATTCTGTGTACGTATATCCCATACGTGTGTACCTCCCACATGCGTCCAGGGGGAAGCCTGTGAGATAGAGCAATTGCCAAGGGCTGTAGCTGTCCCTGCTACTTCTTTCAAGTGCTGTGTGAGAAATTCTGGTCACGTTCTAGTGTGTTCACTAAAGCTGGCATTTCCTAAGGGGACGTGGAGGGGTCTTAGCATAGGTCCTCAGCACCTTACTGAATTGAGGTACAGTATTTGACAACAGTAGAATTTAAGAGTTTGCAAGTTCTGTTAGCCTGATTGTCTGTTAGCAGCAGCAGTTGTGTTTACATTGTAGTGTGAAGCTGCCTCCTCACATGCTAAAGCATGTTAATAATTCCATTTGCACTGGTACTTTAAACTTGGCTGTAAAGCTGATGTTCTCCATTGTAGGTGCTTGTCCACTCTCGAGGAGTGACTCTGGTTCTTTGATTTCATTCCAGCCCTCCTACATTACAGAAGCAGAAAGTCAGAATCCAAAGAACCGAAGTCCAGCTCTCCAATTCTACCAGTTCTCTTCTGGGGCAGAGGACTTCAGGCCTGCACCTTGCAGCCACACAGCAACATTGCCAAAAGCTGCGTGCATGTGGTGTCCTGAGCTATGGGGCATTGAAACAATTCTTTTAGTTCTTTAGTTTAAGCACTTTTCTCATGATACACTTCATCTACTTTGTCCATCTTACAGAAGGTGAAGCAGCCCATCAGAGGACACAAAGTGAGCCTGTGTCAGAGGGGGCTGAGTGCTCATGCCCCAGCTTATTGGCCTGTGCTGTTTCTTCCAGGAACTTTTTCTCAGGCTTTATATATGAGTAGTGAAATCAGGAAGAATAAATAGCATCTCTGCAGTTTGGCTGAGGAAGAGGAAAATAGAGGAGAGGTTTAGCTTTTATATTTATTGTATCTAATGCAGTAATTTCCATTATAACCAGGCCAAATGCTCATTTCTTTGGAACACTGTGCTGAAAAGATAAGGCCCGATCACATCCAGTGTCATCTTGCTTTGCCATCATGCCCTGAGCTGCTAGTGCTATATCAATTCAGATTTACATATTGTTGTACTGAACAAATCGAACTCTCATTGACAATCAGCACCCAGATTTCTCCTTCACTCTTAATCTTGTACCTTGACCTCATCTTATCATCAGTCTGTGCTGTGATTATAATGGCTTGACTTTCCCTTCCTGTTGACTTCATTTTAGTGGAAGGCATTGCAAAGTGTTGCAGAGATAAAGGTAAATGGTGGAAGGTGTAGGCTGCCATAAGGAACCAGGGTCAGTAGGAGAATATGGAGAGACTCTTTCTGGCTGACTGCAGTCTCTCTAAATTGCCATTTTTCCCTGTGCAGACCAATGTTCTACCTGTGCTTTTTTTCAGGTATATGAAAAGAACTATTCTATACAGGTTCAGTTGCCTCTTTTAATTTTTTGAAGTTGCTTTTATATGTTTTTCTAGATATATTTGAAAATCAGTAGTTGAAAGAAAAAAAAAAGAATCTGGTTTGTGAACCTTCTCTCTGTCCTCTAGGACATGTTAGAAAGCAGATTGCAGTGTGGAAGTGCTTAACAGGAATTGATGAAGTTGGGCACTGAGAATAACATACCCTGAAATAAACACTGGTACTCAAATTCCCAGAAAGGGAGAACTAACTAACTTAAACAAGCATTACCCTGGAAAGGAGGGCAAAGATGGTAGTAAAGGAAGTCTTGCTTTCCTTACTACCCAGCAGGGTTATGTTCAGGTGACGGCTGCTGTAAAGGTGGAAAACCCAGGCTTTTGTTATTCAAACTGCATCAAGCTTTTTTTTCCTAATGGGAATGTGAATTATATGTGTGCACACTGGCAGTTAGATTAATACCTATAGAGATGCAGCTGACAGTTTTCCTTTTGCTCATGTGAAGCAAGTCAGGTAAACTGGAGAACAGCCAAAGGGAGTAGTTATTAGCAGCAAGTTAAATCTCAGAGGTTCTTTGTGTTGTCTTGGAGCAGCACCAAAGGCTTAAGAAGGAGCATTTTTTGCTGAGATTTCTCAGTACTGCCTACTTCTCTGTGGGCATGTGGCATATAAAACACTAATCTGAACGAGGAAATAACTGGCTAGAGGATTTGATCAATTAAAAGAAAATGTCTAGATAATTCTTCTGCCTGAGCAGTCATCAGATCCTTCTGGGTTAGTTGCTGACTTAGAGGACTAGTGTACAAAATAACACTGCTTTCCTGAATATGATTTATTCTACTTTGTCAGTGCTGGGATTTTCATGGAGCTGAGTCTCCCGTAACACGATACAGGTGCCTCGCTGAACTCTGACTCTACTTAAAAATGAAGACCCATGTGGGTAGGGAGAGATACGCTCTTTGCAGAACTAGGCTGAAATGTGCTGCTGGTCTGTGACTGGTGAGGAAATGGAGAGCCTTGGGGAACCTCTGCAGTTGTAGTGCCAGCCTTAGTCTGCAGAAGTTCCTCTCATTATGCAAGGCAATTTAGAAATCAATAACTGTCTCTCAGTCACCCAGATACGAAACCTGATGGATGAATAACAGATTTCAAGACAGTGGGCCACTTGGTTCTCACCAGAATACGTTTGGCATATTGTCCTTAAAATACAGAAAAAAAGCCACAACTTAGTATTTACAAATTAGTTAGTACTTACCAATATAAGACCATTTTGACCCTGTTTAAAGACAAAGGAAATATTAGTGTGAATATTTGAAATTGATCTTACTCTGTAAAGAAACAACTTGCCACTTAAACCCCTGTACTGAATTTTGCAGTACTTTTAGCTGTCTTTCTAGCCCCAGATGTTGAGCAAAACAGACTCTTTCAAAGATTTTGAACCCTTCTCACCCAAATTATAATTATCCCTGTGATCCTGCCCATAAGGCTTGACTTTCTTGTGGTCACATAAATCCTGGGGTGAAACTTTTGTCAGTTTTTTGTTTTTTGGGTTTTTTTTGGGGGGGGGGTGGGGTGGCGTGGGG